ATTACTTTCTCATTAGATCCATTAGCAAATATCTAAAGATAGGCTATATGTATCTTATTTAATATAATATTATATATATCTTTAGATGATATCCTTAATATAGCAAATAAAGTTGCTTCACATGAGTTTTTAAGAGTTAAAATTACAAGATCAATGAGTTAACAAACTTTTTGAAAAATAACTCAAAATACATACACATATTTTATGTCTAAATTACTTTGATTCTGATTCTAAGCCTAAGCTTCAAGCATGTATCTTATTATTGCAATAATATTTTAAAGTGCATTATTCCTTCTAAAGTTTTAGTTTATACATTTATACATGTTGAAAGAATTACTACATGTAAATAAAATATTATAATTGCACATCATACAAAAATATTTTCTTTAAATCTAACAAATTGAGTTATTATTAACTTGTGTTCAGTAAAAGATTGATCGATTACTGTAATAGAATAATAATGAAAGAGCTATTTATGAATATGAAGTTAATCCAATTATAAATGAATTTGGTGAATTATTGATTAATTTAACATACTGTACATGTATGATTTATATTTGTTGTGCAAGTTTGAATCTCGATATGAGATGATAATTGATCTGCATTCAAACAAGATTTAGATAACGATAAGAACAACCAAAATTGATCCGCAGGCGTTGCAGAGTCTTGGAGCACTTTAACCTTATCGTGCTTAACAAATTATCTTTTTGTCTGTTAGTGTTTTGGCAACGCATAAAAGTGCAAAGAAGAAAAATCTTGTTAATATCAGATGAAGCGCTGTTGCATTGGACACCACCCCGTTTCACCCAGAGCTAATTGAAATATGCGAGGACTGTAGTTTTCAATTTATATTATATATTATAATTTACGATCTCAAAATGCAGTCACTGGCAATTTTCAGGTGACATTATCAATTATCGTGTGTATGCGTGTCTAATTATATAAAAATACATCGGTTTCTCACGTATCTTCCAATAATATGTGTCGATATTGCATTTTTCGGAGTATGGTAAAACCGTATCATCATCACAATCATCATCATGTCATCGTTTCAAAATAAACATTATGATAGATGTGTTTGTAATCAACATACTTTTATCGATATTCGTGAAGTTAACTTGGCTATCTGGGGGCTGGCTTAATGCATGGTATATGTAATCAGAAACATAAAGCTTTTGTGATTTACATTTTTTTCTTGTGCATGGGTTGCATAGCCATCCGCACACAATCAACAATAAAAAAAACATATATTTTAGAGATCAAAAAGCATAATCAAAAATTAATAAAAAACGTATTTTGATAGCTCATATCACATTTGCTCCGAGCCATATATCGGTATATATTTTTTTATTATGTTGATTTTGGTCACACCCGTCACTTTATTACTCTTTCTCTTCGCTGCGCTTTCTCCCTTCGTTGTATATGGTATTTTCATTTTTTAAATATATCTTTCCTTCTCGTCTCATTACATTAGTGTGTTACCCTTTTATTTTTTATTATAATTAATAAATAATTAATTAAATAGCTAATAATATTTTTTCTTTTTTTACATTTATTTATATATTTTATTACTATTTTCAAAATAGCTGGGCTTTATATTATTCTTTCGTATTGGATAGTATACCTATTACACCAACTACACGCTATTCCAACTTTAAATTAATTATATTTCTGTAATGCCTGGTCCCGATCTCTCAGACAGCTTATGACAGATTGTCCGCCTATCTTCGGACAGCAGTACCACCAGGATTTTTTCTGAATCCACCACCGTCACAACACAATTATCAGACCCTGTCGGCTCATCAGCAGCATCAGCTGTCACAACCTCAGCAACGGTATCCCATGAACATGCCTGTGGTTTATACTTCATCCGTTATTGGGACCCAGGTCAACAATAATTATTATAATGAAGCAGCAAGCAAACAACATCAATCTTCTGTCAATAACCACCATAATTCCTCGAGCACTTTGAAGTTGGCCGAGTTCGCTTCGAATATGGTTTAGCAAATTTGGAATTTTAAAAGACCTTCCTCTGCCTTAGCAAGTCAGTATGGGGCACCATCTGCATCGTATCCTAATAATATCTCACCAACTGCGAGTCCTCAGTTCAAAAATTTCTGTTATAATGTACATACGTCACTTTATCAATAGCAAGATCATCATCAAAAATGATTCACCTCTATTTTACTATTTGATTTTATTTAGTTGATTTTTTGTCACTTAAATATGTCCAAAAATTAGTGAAAAATGGAACGATGTCCACTGGTGATAAGTGATCAGAATAACGTGTATTCACCGTTGCATTGATGTTGGCTAGTAAGTTTCTTGACGATATTACATTTACGAACAAGGAACATAACATTATGGAGTGGGAATTTCTCGATATTTTGGATTGCAAGTTATTCGTGAGCGATACAGAATACAAGCACTGGTTGTAATGTCTTAATGAGTATATGCAAAGGCAGCATCAACAGTCGCTTCATCAAAGGAAAAAGATTGTTCATCGTCGCCAGTCAAATACGCAAATCACTACCAACACTAGCTCAAATGTAATCCAACCCCACGCTCAATCACACTACGGATCTGTTCAACTTGGCAAGGCTTGAACATAGTAAATGGAATCGGTGGCTTTACCTTCCCTTCTCTTGGATCTCGCAATAATAACAATAACAATAATAATCTTCGAATTTCTGCTAAGAAGGTATCGCTGCTAATGCTGGTGGATCTTTTGGTTCAGCCCCTGCTATGATTGATCCCCCTGGTTTTGGTATTGTTGGTGGGTTTGGTGCTCCAATCGTATCTCTTCAATCTTCATTACGTTGTACACGCCCATCGATCGGAGCAAAATGAATTATAACAGCACAGATACTAGGATTGGTAATATTGCTGCTGTTGGAATATAAAGTTGCTGTAAATGCTGCCTCTGATATCAATTCGACGGCAGGAGGTGGTTACTTTTCGCGAGTTGTTGGCGGGGTTAGAATGACCTAATAATTGGTCTGTCGGACTAAGCTGAAAAAGAAAGAATAAAAAAAACTTGTGACAAAGACAAAAAAATGATTTTACATATAAATAGGATCATCCGTTAATTAATACTTCTTATTATTATTATTATTATTATTATTATTATTATTATTATATATTAATTAGCATTATATTTTATACTACTGCTGAAATTAGCAATCTATACAGCATATATCATATATGCGAACAACACGATTTTTTTTCTTTATTTCCCAACAGGTTTTTCCGTATAATTTTATACTACTATCTTTTATATTACATCAGTCACGTATTTCCGTTTGCTTATGCCATCCCATGTCAAATTGATTAATAATAAAAACTAGCTGATTATAAAAATTATGGGTATTAGTTATGAAAAATGTGTCAAATACCAGTAGAATTAGCAAATTTTCATCCATATGAATAGTTTCTTCTGGTAATTGATTATTAAGAAAATCCTAATATTTGATCATTATTATCCTGTACTTCTATATAAGTGATTTAATTCTATATTTACAAGTTTTTGTATCCATCTGCACTCAAACAGAGGAAATCTTGATTAGATAGGAACAAGCAAAATTGCGTTACAGAGCCAATTGAAAAGGTGAGAACTGTAGTTTTTCAATTTATCTTATTTAATATAATTTATGATCTCAAAGTGCAATCATGCAATCAATGGCAATTTTCAGGCGACAATAGCAATTATCGTGTATATTTGATATTGCGAGCACCCATAAACGCATAAACTTGTCCAATTATATAGAATACATCGGTTTCTCACGTATCTGGGGCCGACTTAATGCATGGCAATCAGAATCATAAAATTTTCGTGATTTATATGCATGGGTTGCACACAATCAACAATAAGAAAAATCTTGTTAGTATCGATGAAACACTGTTTCATTGGGCACATTGAAATATGCGTATTAAGGCGAGGACTGTAGTTTTTCAATTTATATTATATATTATTATTTACGATCTATCACTGGCAATTCTCAGGTGACAATAGCAATTATCGTGTGTATATTTGGTATTACGAGCACATACACTTGTCCAATTATATAAAAATACATCGATTTCTCACGTATCTTCAATAACATGTGTCGATGTTGCATTTTTAGGAGTATGGTAAAACCGTACTATCATCATCATCATGTCATCGTTTCAAAAATAAACAGTATGATAGATGTGTTTGTAATCAACATACTTTTATCGATATTCGTGAAGTTAACTTGGCTATCTGGGGCTGGCTTAATGCATGGTACATGTAATCAGAATCATAAGCTTTCGTGATTTACATTTTTTCGTGTGCATGGGTTGCATAGCTATCCGCACATAATCAACAATAAAAAAATATATAGAGATGAAAAGCATGAATCAAATCAAAATCTTATAATTTGTAAATTAATTAAATAAAACGCATTTCTTGATAGCTCATATCTCATTTGCTCCGAGCCATATATTGGGTATATATATTTTTTGTTATGTTAATTCTGGTTACACAACAGTACACCAGCCACTTATCGTTATCTAAAATACAAGGGAAATCTATTATGATGAGACAGAATCAACCAATCATAAACGAAGGTGCGAATTTAAACGCGCCAATATCACCATCACTTAGTCCGTATTCACCTCATATTTCTGAAAAGATTTCACCATCTACATCGGAAAGGAATCCTTCTCCTCCAGCCCAGCAAGTGCAAAAAATGGTTATGTCAAAAAAAAGGAAATTAGAAGAAATTGAACGGATGCATTCTGGTTTCCTTTCATTTGCACGAAAACGATCAGATCGCGTGCGAAAAAAATTGCAATGTAAACCTCCTATGTTAACCGCAGCACAGGCGAAAGAGAGCGCTATCAGGGAATTGACAACAATTCCCACCGTTGGCCTCTCAGATATTGTAATTGAGATTCGTGCAAAATCTGCGAAGAGGCGGAGGGTGACAACTACAGCTCAACATCCAAGTTCCCATCAACCGTTAGCAGCCGGCGCCATGCCACCATCATCTAGTTCAAGTAAAATAGGAAATTTATCGAAACCACCTGACACACAAAATCAAAGCGATCCAAAGCCCAGGCAAATAACTCAGCCCATACGTAGTTTCAACGAATTTAAAAAAAAGGTATACCCACACGCTCGGAGGTCAGTTCTTGTGCCGTTGGCAATATATGATGTTCCAACTGGTGTCAAACCATATGTTCTTCCTGAAGAATATGATATTACAAAAACAATTGAATCCATGAACGCTAAAATTGATGTGAAAGGAAAAGGAAAAGGAAAAGCAAAAGTTTATTGATTTATTTACTACCTTTTATGAACTTTTTGTTTTATTTACAAATATTTGAATTTTTTATCAATATTTCTAAGCATAAATTACCATTCTCATTTTCCATTAGAACTAATTTATTAATTTTTTATCTAATTTACGTCGAAATGTATTTTATTTGATTAATTCATCTACATAACGATAACGATACTTTCCGAATAAAGAACCACATGACTTATAAACG